GCAATAACAATACACTCAATAACAATTTCTGCAATTTATTAGCCATCACTTAAAATGCTTGCTTTGTCGGTTTTAAACGAATATAAATTCTTCTTCAAAGCTTTCGAAAAGTTCAGCGGCTTTTGTATTTCGTTGTGAAAATCCACTCACGTTCACAGTTGTTTCGAAACTGAATTGCGTTTTATAATGAAATATAAATTTTGCAATACCTAAAATCGATTTATATATATATGTATGAAAATAATATATACTACGAGTATGTATGTACATATATGTATATGTATGTACATATGCAAGGCATGGTATGGCATGAGTTATCGCTTTACTTACAATACTAGTGATATGATGAACTATGTATTTGGAAGACGTAAAATATGTACATACATATACATATACATGTGTATATAAATAATTGCGAATATATACTCGTATATTGTAAATAAGTACGCCTTTTAATTCGAAATCATCAACTTCATATAGAAGTATATATACATACATACAAACATATATGAATCTCCTTTTGTAGGTACACATACATATGTACTTATTTAGTATGTATATGTACTCATGTGCGAATTATTCGCTTACCAGTAAGCATGATGTGAGCAAAGCGTAGTAAGAAATGTAGAACTTACGGCGCCCCATAATGATCGGATCTAATATACTACATACATATGTAAGTACATACATATGTGTGTTCACTTAGGAACATACATATAAAGTATAATTGGTCCTTATCAGCTACGTTTGGGTGGTCACTGGCTGGGTAATTTTTAATACCATTACTTATGTATATTTGTGGTATTAAGTAGGTATGTATAAAAATATAATATTTAGGCTTTTGTTTTTCAATGAAAAACTTAAACATTTAACTTTGTTACATACATACATCCTCATATACTATAAATACTATAAACTTAACTTATGACTATTAATAAATGTCAGTGGTCACTTATTTATAGTTTAAATGGACAACGCAATCATTTCTTTGCTCAATAATTTATTACAAATTAAAAATAGATCTGCTGTCCAATCAGTAAGTCAGCCACAGAAACTGAACTATTTATTATACAGAGACCCAGAATAATAATTATTTCATGGTGGAGTTTTAAAAAAGTCATCAAAATTTTCGTAAGAATTATAAACGTCTTTTCATACGTTTGCACTTATATCAGCGAGATAAATTTGTTTAAATTTTTACAGAATTTGATCTTGAGACGCATGAACAAAATCTATTTTTATATGGAAGAAAATTTGCAACACCCACGACAAAAAAAAAATTCTCAAAAATCAACGGTGTTCTGTAGCGACTTCAAACATGCACTTTATATCAAAACTCAATGGACTATACAATTGCATACCAAAAAAATTCTGAATAAAAAGTGTGAAATTTTGATTTTTATACCACATTAATGCAAGATCCAACCAAATCTGGAAGACTATTTTCAAGTAAGATTGACTATTCAGATTTCTTACTAATGTACAAAAATATTACAAAAGCCTGCCCAAAAATCTAAAAGGTGCAAAACTTTGCTTATAGAAACGCCGTCAAGAACGAAATCGCTAAAAAAAAACTCAAGGCATCTACAGGTGTGACGGCTTTGAAAGAATGCTTTGAAAAACAGATTATTTCTTTCATATAAAAAGATTTACAGTTTGCAGGCATGTAGAAAAATATGTATTTTTTAAATATAGAGCTGTTTTATTTCAAGTTTTTAACTTTTGGTACATTTCTCGAATTTGCGAGTAGTATTTTGTAACTGAATTGAAAATTGCAGTAAAATTAATTTGACGAATTTGTGAAAACAGGTCTGATAGTTCTCTATCCACATACATACATATGTATGTATGTATTTATTTCTATTGCTACAACGAAATTTTAATAAAAATGTATCAAAATTCTTCTTCTTTTCGAACTGACATTCCCACCAATTATGTCTAATAAAATTCGAAATTGCAAAAAATGTGTGTCAACAGTGAACAGCTGTGAGACCAAACAGCTGAAGATGGCAGCCGGCTGTCGGCAGTCAGTTTCAATTTCAATTACACTTGACATTCTGCGAAGAGGCTGCGACAAAAAAAAAAAATATACTTAAATAAAATAAAAGAAGTAAACCGAGGCGTTAAGTAAATGAACTGAGCATAGGAACTACATATAAGCAAGATATAAAAATATCTGGGCGTACAAACTGCGTGCAATCTAATCGAAGGGTAGAAAAGGAAGAAAACAACGGACGAGCAATGTCTAAATGAAAAAAAGAATAACTGCTGTTGCTGGCATGGAAATTTGAATACATTTGGTTTTAATTCAATAGCAGTATATGTATGTATGTATGCATTGGCATTGTTTTGGTTTTCATTGGCGATAGTAAAATATTGCCTTCAACGCGCCGTTTTCGTGTCTACAGAGCGTATGCGCAACAGAAATGCACACATGCAAAAATGTATACGCTACCCTGTCGGAATAAAGCAGCCAATTTAAAAATTAACCAGTTTAAAGAGTAAATTACTTTGAAACAAATGCAACATTTAGGCTACTGATTTTGAACATCTTTAATGCAATTGAAAGTAGTTTAAATCATATGCAATATAGCTGGACAATTGTCAAAAATAATTTTTCACTATGTAAAACCCTTTTGATTTAATTTTTTCCACTATTTGTTTTATAACAAGTAATTTAGCAAAAAAAAACCGACTTCCATTCTCATATAAATATATATATATATATATATATATGTATATGTATCTCATGATTCAATGATCAGATCTAGACCGGATTAGTACGGGACTACCTCTGAGACACTACCTTTCCGATGCAAAAAGAATTATCGAAATCGGTTGACGTGGTCCAAAGTTAAAAAAATATTCCCACGAACTGACAACCTCCTCCTTTTTTGGAAGTCGGTTAAAAATAGAGTTCATGCTGCAACGAAATACGTAAAAATATTATTTCGGCAGCCTGTACAAAATGCAGGAAAATGCAATAAACGCTGGCAACGCTGGTTTAATTGCCGTCTAAAAACGCAAATATAAAAGCTTAGTTTTTGTTTTGCGTCTCCAAACTATAAAAAAAAATACATATAACATTAAAACTGAGCTAGGCGAACTGGAGTACCCCTATCAAGGAGAGATGCGTCCAGGCGATAACATTAAGAGAGTATACAGAAGGCTCTAAAACTCCTGAAGGGATAGGAGCAGGTCTTTATGGCCCTAGACTGAAGCTTTCGGTGCCCCTGAGAACCAGCCCCAGCATCTTTCAGGCGGAAGTTTATGCCATGACTCTGTGTGCTTAGATTAACCTTCTTAGGAAGTATCGAAGCGAGAGGATCCTAGCCAGGCGGCACTCAAGGTTCTCTCATCCTTCGAGATCAAACCCCCGGTGGTCCTGAGGATGATGTGGAGATGGCTTAATACTCTGGCTGAGAACAGTACCTTGATATTGCTATGGGTACCAGGGCATATGGGAGTCGAAGGTAATGAGAAAGCGGACCCCCTGACTAGACTGGTTGCTGTCTCGATCTCGATAGGACCGGATCCCTTTGTTTCAATAGGTCCCAACACGATAAGCGAAACGCTCAGGTAGGAAAACACCCCGCCAAGGGAACTGCATTGGCGTAATATCAAAAGCGTACTAGGAGGGTACAATCTAAAAAGATATAGGAAACTCATATGCCTCCCTAAGGAGAAACTAAGAATCATTACAGGTATTTTGAAGGACCAACTCCGGGTTAAGACCTCACTTGTATAATTTAGAAATCTGGTTTAGTGAGCTATGTCGCGTCTGTGACGCTGGCATAAGAAGGGATGGGAGCGTAGGGCTTTTATGGCCCCCGGGATCTATTCTGAAATTTCTAGAGTCTCTCTGGCTAAATAGTTGAGGTAGGGCACCATAGATCTACTGGTCGCAATGATTTATTGACCTCTGTCTATCGTCATTATCTATCTGTGTAGTGCAGAACGAAAGCGTATTCAAACGAAATATACTGACTTTGAATTGTTTTTGAAAGGAATTGAAATTATATGCAGAGTCGGACAATTGACTTTCTCCTAGGACATCGACGCGTTAATAACGTCAGTTGCTTACAAGAAAACCGGCAGAATTTCAACTACATGTAGTAGATAAAAAAGGTACTAATTAAATTACTTTTACAGCTAATTTCACGAATTTTATATGGGAATCGCTGTTGAAACCAGCTGTTAAAGTAGTTGATTTTCCGACAGGGTACTGCCAACTTATGTACGTATGTTTGTGGGTATGAGTACAGCTACCAATCAAATTGGCATCCAATTGCAAACATTTTATTCTTGCTATTGAAATTCTTTCCATAATCGCTGGCGCCAAATTTGCTCTGCTTCTGGCTTCCCATTTTCAATGCCCTTCTTCTTCTATCGCTCAAGTAATGCAATTCGCTAAGTTTTGCCATCAAGTGTTTATAAGTCGATTTTTATTTTATTCTATTATATTCTATTTTATTTTCTGTATTTAAGAAACACTTGTTCCTTAGCACATTGACATATATGTATTTCGTTTTCGCGTCTCATCTACATAGTGTCTCCAAGCGCACATTTCTGCCAACACATTGGCGCTTCATTGTGCGTTTATGTATTTGTGCGTACGTCAATGGGTCAATTGAAAATATGTAAAAAAAAAAAATAATAAATACGAAGCTATAAAATAATAAATATTATGCCTACTGTGCGATACAAAATGAGCTGTGAGCAAACACAAATTTGAGTCACACAAAAATTGTGCGAGGAGCATTTAAGTTCATTCAGGGTTCAGTTCAATTAAAATTGCGAATTTTATGCATACGCGGATTTTCAAGGTTTCTTTGGTGTTGATATATGTATACTCGTGTACACGCATTTAAGTATTTACTCTAGTTCATAGTATTTTTGCAAGTAAACGCACTTACATATGCACACATGCAGTTGCGATTCTACAAACATACTTCTCGACCCATTTAATTTTTCTTATTCTCTTATTTTTTTCTTTATAGCAACTCCGCAACTGGAAAACGTTATATCAGTAATGCTTGCATTGGCGTCTACAAGCGTTATCACATCTGCAACGAGCAGGTATTTGGGACGGTCATATGCCGCTTGTACGCAATCGTGCATTATTACTCATTTATTTACACATAAACAATGTATATAAATGCCCAGTTTGCTTATAAATACATCTCCATACATACATACATATAATGGTAATTTTCCTTTGCTTTGCCATAGCCTTGTCCTGCCGCTTTGACTGACTTCCGCGCCGTACAATGTGCAGCATTCAATGAGGTCGATTTTCAGGGACAGAAATACACTTGGGAGCCCTATATCAAAGGTTAGTATATCAAAGATAATAATGCTATAGTAAATAAATATATACATATGTAGTTGGTAGGTAGCTTTTTTTTCGGAAAACCGCTTATGGAGACAATCTACACAAGTATATGAAAAAGCCTTGCGATACATACATATACATAGATATTTGTGCCTGTACTGTAAGAACATTTTACAACAAAGAAAAAAATACAAAAAAAAAAAACAAAATTCCGAAAAGTCCCTAAATCTTAATGAACGAAACACAAAGATTTCCTAGAAAAAACCGAGAAAAATATATAAAGGTCCCGAGAAATTCCGAAAAATGAGTCTAGAAAAATTCGAAAAAATTCTTAACGGTTTCTAAAATCCCAATACATTTTTTAAAATACCCGAAAAGTCACGAAGCATTTTATGAATTTTTCGAGATTTCAAGAATTTTTTTTATAATATGCGGAAAAATCCTTAAATAATCCTGAAAGGTGCTGAAAAATCCCAAAAAATATAGAACAGGAAGAGTTCCGCAAAATAAAGCTAAAAAACAGAAAGACCTCACAAAATATAAAAAAAAAACAGAAGAAACCCAGAAAAAATACTTAAAAATGTCTAACAGTCTCGAAAAATCTCGAAAACATACTTAAGAAAATTCGGAAAATCTCGAAATCTGCAAACCCGGAATCCAAAGAATTCCGAAAAAAATCAACATTGGGTCCCGACGAATCCTGGAAAAATTCGAAAAAATTCTAAACGGTTTCTAAAAATCCCAATACATTTTTTAAAAGACCCGAAAAGTTACGATGCATTTTATGAATATTTCGAGATTTCATTTTTTTTAACTTCCAAAAAAACCTTTAAAAGTCTCGAAAGGTGCCGACATATTTTGAAATAAAAACCGGAAGAGCCAAAAAAGTATAACACAACAAAAAAAAAAAACAAAATGAAACCCAGAAAAATCCCAAGAAATCGCGAAAAGGGCCGGAACGGTTTCTAAACATGCGAATCCCTTATCAATACCTAGTTTTTTTTCGAGATTTCAAGAATATTTTTTATTAACTTCAGAAAAACTCCTAGGAGAGCCCTGAAACGTGCCGAAAAATCTCAAAAAATTGAACAGGAAGTATTTCGCTAAATAAAGCTGTGAAAACCGAAATATCCCAAAAAATATAAAAAAAAGAATGAAACCCAGAAAAATCCAAAGAAAACGGTGAAAAATGACATAACGGTTTCTAAATATACCAATACATTTTTTCAAAGACCCGAAAAGTCACGAAGCATTTAATTTTCTTATCAATACCTGTTTCTCAAGATTATTATTTTTTTTAAACTTCCGAAAAATCTCTTGGAAAATAAAACACGAAGAACAAAAACACAAAAAGATTCGAGGCAGAGAATACCAAAGAAATCGTGAAAAGTCCTGAACGGTTTCGAAGAATCCCGAAAAGTCTTCTAAAGACCCGAAAATTTACGAAACATTTCATTTTACTATTAATGCCTGCATTTTATGAGATTTCAAGATATTCTTTTTGAAAAGTTCCGAAAAATCCTGAAAGGGTTCCGAAGGACGTTGAAAAATCTCGAAAGATGGAACAGGAAGAATTCGAAAAAAAACAAAAATATACGAGAGATCCCGAGAAATACCGAACAAGAAGAACTTAGTTGGAATCTGGAAAAAATCCAGAGAAATTTTCGAAAAGGCTTGAAAATATTTCATTTTATTATTAATGTCTGGATTTGTTGGGATTGCAATTTTTTACCTTTCAGAAATTTTTCAAAACTTTCCGGAATTAAAAAAAAAGTCAAATAAATAACAAAACGGGAAGTATTCCGAAAAAACAAAAAAAAACCGGAAAGTTCCCAAAAATGAAACATCAGGAATTTTTGAAATATTCCAAAGAAATCTTAAAACATTCTGAACGGTTTGGAAAAATTTCGAACCATTTCTTTTTATTATCAATACATGAATTTTGCAAGATTTCATATTTTTGTAACCTTTCAGCATTTTGTTAAACATTGCGGTATTTTTATTTGGACGATCAAGGATTCTTTGTAATATTTCGAGTTTTTTCGGTAATGTTTGTATTGTTATTCATTTTAAAGTGCAACGGCGCATTAAAGTTTTAAGTTATGAAAGCCTGAACCAAGAAACATCCCCAAGAAACATCTACTTAGATAATCTTGTTTTTAATTTTTTGGCTTACAAAAATAATCAAAAAGTGGGAGAAATATCTCACTTCACAAATCTAACGGTATATAATTCCAATATGAATAAAATGGCGAGGTGAAAAAAATTTGTAGAAATATTCGGGTTCCAGCGCCACCTAGTATCGGCAAGCGTTTATACTTGAACCCGAAATGCCAAGACAAAAATATCCTACGAATTGGAGCTNTAAAAAAAAAACCGGAAAGTTCCCAAAAATAAAACATCAGGAATTTTTGAAATATTCCAAAGAAATCTTAAAACATTCTGAACGGTTTGGAAAAATTTCGAACCATTTCTTTTTATTATCAATACATGAATTTTGCAAGATTTCATATTTTTGTAACCTTTCAGCATTTTGTTAAACATTGCGGTATTTTTATTTGGACGATCAAGGATTCTTTGTAATATTTCGAGTTTTTTCGGTAATGTTTGTATTGTTATTCATTTTAAAGTGCAACGGCGCATTAAAGTTTTAAGTTATGAAAGCCTGAACCAAGAAACATCCCCAAGAAACATCTACTTAGATAATCTTGTTTTTAATTTTTTGGCTTACAAAAATAATCAAAAAGTGGGAGAAATATCTCACTTCACAAATCTAACGGTATATAATTCCAATATGAATAAAATGGCGAGGTGAAAAAAATTTGTAGAAATATTCGGGTTCCAGCGCCACCTAGTATCGGCAAGCGTTTATACTTGAACCCGAAATGCCAAGACAAAAATATCCTACGAATTGGAGCTCACAATCCGCTCAACAGCTCCAACAGGCATCATTTTGATTTTTAAGGATGGGTACAAAGGTATTGAACGTGAAGTCTTGTGAAATAGGCTGAGTTTGAATTGGCTGAGTTTTTCCTTCGTTCGCAGTTTATGGCTCCGATATTTTAAGGATATTTTTATATGGGCAATTATCACACGTGTCCTGTTTCTTATAGATAAATTCGACAATTTGGTATGCAGATCGCAGATCAGCAGCCAACTTTAAATTTCTATTAAATTGAGTATCTATTATTGTCATGTTATTTTCTAGAACTTGCAAGGTAACTATTTACAGTATGCATTTCTGTAAAAAAAAACACTTTTGTTTTACTTTCTTTCTACACTAGAGGATGCCGAATGCGAATTGAATTGCAAGCCAATGGGTATGAAATATTTTGCAACGTTAAACTCATCGGTCATTGATGGTACGCCATGTTTTCGACCAGCTGAATATTATCGCTCAAATTATCGACAGCGTGCAATGTGTGTGGATGGTGTTTGTAAGGTAAGTACAGAATTTGCATACAATAAGTACTCGTACTTAACCTTGAAGCAGTCACGCAAAGTCTAGGCGGGTTTTTGTGCGTTTTTTTTTTTTTTTGATAAACTAATTATTTTAAAGATTTTTCCGCAGTTAAGAAAATGCAAAAATAAATTTTGCTGTTATTTAAATATTTCACAGAAAATATCCATACACATACATATATGTGTAGTTTACTTAAATTTTATATAATATATAATTATAAACTCTTACGAGGAAAAGGCTTCGACGGCAGGTCGTCTGTTTGCGATTCAAATGACTGCGCCATCGTTTGGCGATAAATCAATCTTATACCTAAGGAAAAAGTCGCATATATCCATATCGTCGTTTAAAGTGCAAAACCGCGTATCAACAAAATGCAAAACCGCGTATGTGAAGTTGTAGAAATTATTTTCTAGAGCGTAAAAACACTCATATTTCAAAATGGTTATCTTTTTTTTTATAAAGCACTACTATGGCTACTATATTTCAGGACGCATAGATAAGGATTGAGCCAAGAGCTTGTGTGAGCAAATCCAATTTTTGGCAGCCAATGTCAGTTACGCGGTTTTGCAAAATGAGGATACGCGGTTTTGTACATTAAACGACGATAAATATGTATTTGTGTATTAATATGTTGGTTGGTTCGAGGTAGTGCTTCCTGGTAGCTGTCTAGGATTTAATTAGCGCATTTTTGCACCATTTTGATGCACTTCTCGTGGTAATGTTTTGGCTATGTAAATACATTTGAATCTGCCTATTTCGCCTGTCTTCGACATGGCTTGGACATTCACACAGGAAATGCCGGACGTTCTCTTCACTATCATCTAACTGACAGCTGCGGCAAATCCCATTATAGGGTAGCCCTATTTTTGCTACAGGTTTACCTGGGAGCCAGTGTCCAGTGGTACTTGCTGTAGTTTCTGAACACTTCCGTCCATGATCTATTGAGCAAGTCTCAGGTCTGTTTTATGTTCTGACAGTTCAAAGATTTTGTCTACGGGTCTTAATATTCTACACATGACACATGTAGTTTGTAAATCTCATATGAATATATATGCATATGAACTGCTAAAATTGTAACCAATATTATTTCGAAAATATTCTGCATACTTACAAGGTTCCATTCCATTTTTTTTTTTAAGAAATTCTTTGATGTTTTCACATAGGCTGTTAGAAAGTATTGGCAAAATAAGCAGGCCTTCCAGGGCTAAAGAATTCTTTGTTGAGTTAAAGTTTTGTTAGGAAATGGGATATATGGGAGCTATATGTTATAGTGGTCCGATTTTTCCGGTTCTGACAAATGATTAAAACATTATAAAAATACACTAACTTACCAAATTTCAGTCGGATATCGCGAAAACTGAAAGACTAGATTACATACAAACAGACGGACAGACGGGCATGGCTAAATCAGCTCAGCTCAACATTCTGATCTTTCATGGGTCTATCTATTATTCTTCTGACACTTACAAACATCGGACCAAAGTTATAATAATATAATTAAAAAAATTAAATTTGCGGTGTTCTAATTTGAAATAATATTTATTCTTTAATAGACAGAAACAGGATGAATTAAAAATAATTTAAAATTTATGGCGTTTTCTTTCCTACCGACAAATCTCATTGTCCGCTTCACTTAAGCAGCTAGAAGAGGACAACGAGAAGGCAACAATTTTTCTAGAAAAGAAAATTTCTTTCAATATGGACTAAATATGTTCTTGTATACATATACATATGTACAAGTACATCTGACCGAAAAAAAACCAAATTGACGCTTGTTAGAGCTTCGCGTCCGCTTATGGGAGATTTTTTTTTTCATACTGGACTTTTTTGAGTGTCCGCGTCCGTTTATCGGAAAGTCCGTGTATGGGGGAGAGCATTTTGTATGAAAAAAAAAAAAAAAAAAATTGTTCGTTCCCAAGAATGTGTCCGGTTATAGGAGATGTCCGCTATGAGAGCTTTCTCTGTATAAGTACATATAACAATGAATTTCGAGTTTGCCAATAAAAATTAAAAAAATGGAATTTTAGTTTCTGAAATAATAGTCAACTTTTACTCAATGTAATTTTTTTTCATTTGGTGACACACTAGATGCGTTCGTTTAGGTGTGAAGAACATTTGAACCGTTTAATTTTCACATTTCTAAACTTAGTAAAATTAAAAAAAATCTTTTAATTTGAAAAATTAGATATGTTGTATTTGATGCCAGCGTCCATTGTCTCTAATATGAAAATTCTATTTGAATACTTTCCAAAATTATTAAAAAAAAATAATTACATAAACTTTTTTCGAGTGACAACGAAAAAGTAAGTAATTTCAGTGTTTTTTTCGCCTAAATAAAGGTTTTAATTCAAAAATTGTTCAAATACTTGATTTATTTTTTTGTTGTAATTGTGTTGTGACTTTAAAAAACCACTAGTGAGATTTGCTCATATGTATGTACATATATATGTACAGTGAATTGGGGATAAGGCTGATTATTTATTTGGTGCGTTTTAAATATTTAATTTTGATTGAAACTCTATATATACAATATGCTTATTTAAATGAATAATAAATGATTAAAAAATCTATTAAAACTAGAAAAACAATATTCAAATCAAATATTGTGTTGATAAAATGAAAAGAAGTAATTTTTGGTGTTTTTGGCAATTTTTGTTACTCATTCGTTTATTCTCCTCATTCCACACGGTGGCCACGCGAATTTTTCAATATTAATGGCGCACCACATAACAAAATATGTAGCATATTTTTAGGCGCTATACTGTTAAGGTACAGCTATTTAGCATTTATGTTAAATTAAAGTTGTTAACTGAAATTTCAAACTGTTAATAACTTTACAGAATTCTGTTAGCTGTCAGATAACATATTAATGTTAATTTTCTGTTATCTACGGCACGTATTTTTTATAGTGAAAATAAATTAACAATACTATACCGAGAAAATGCTCAAATTTGCCTAAAACTGGCAATAATTTGTAAGAAATATACTAATTAATAATTATAAGCTTATAGCTTTGTATATTCCGAAATTATTTTGCAGCACAAACATTGCTTTTGAAATATTTTCCTTTACGTTTTCACGAGATATGTGTACATTCTTACGTTTTTTTTTAAATAATTTTTTGAGAGTTGCAACAATTTCTTTTTGTTTCTTTTGAATTTAGCTATTTTTGCTTGGTTCTAAAAACTACATAAATACATTGTAATTAAATTAGATGAGTCCGACCCTTGAAAATGCAAATTGTACTGCGCTTTGATCTGCGAAAGTGCAATAAAAAGACTTAAAAAAAATAACTCAATTGCACACTTTAGTGTCTAAAATTACGTTTATTCTAACAAAGTATGGCCAAGCCAACAAACGACTGCAACTGAAGAGCCCAGTGACCGAGTGCAATATATTTTAGCAAAAGTCAAGTGTTTCGCCAAATGAACTTTCTAATGAAAAACAGCATTTCAAGAGTGATAGAATAAAAGAACTAAAAACGTGCCATTTTAAGCCTACTCCCACGCAATTCTTTTTGAGCTAACTTCTTTTTTGCGCACACAAACTCTTCAGCAAACTAACAGCTGCTTTCAATCATTTTTCAATTGCATAATTCGCCACAGAAGTACTACATATGCATGTAAGTCATCTTTCACTTTCGCCAAAGCATGCAAATCAAATCAAGTGGCATGGAAAGTGTTTGCCAGTCCCCCCGTTTTTTTTTTTTTTTTTGATTTGAGGAAATGAAAAGTGCAAATCATGCAATCGCCGCTTAACCAGTTGACCCATATTTATGCGAGAGGGGGATAAAATAAATGAAAATTAATATCTTTGACGTCTATTACAACTCAAATTACATTATCTAACCGCAGATTTTCATTGCATCAACGCCTTAATGTATGCCACACATAATGAAATCAATCAAAGAAACAATCATACCGACAATTACGCATATTTAATATGCAGACGAATTACTAAAGCCAATACATATTCTCACATGCCTACATAAATACATATGTATGTATGTATGTATATTAGGGTAGTCATTAAAAAATTTAATTAAAGATTTTTTCAGTGTAACCCCCTCAATCGGTAATACCACAGTCAGAGATATCACATATAAATTTAGGTCCCGTTTGGAGTCGGTTATGGCGTCTTCATAGGGTAATCTCAACTTTGACCCCTGTGCGACACGCATGTGATGTAAAAATTTGTTTCCTTCATTTAAGGACTACCCTACTGTGCATACATATACATACATACATGCATTTGCATTGAGTAGAAATTATGTGTCAGCGCGCGGAAAACTTGTCACTTTGTGGTTTAAGTACTTTGCAGGAGTTTTGCGGTGAAGAAAATTAAAAAAAAAAATATGCGACACCTTTAATAAAATATACATAATTTTTTTTGGTTTATAGAAACTTTATAACAAAGGCTGTCTTGAATTATTATAATTTTCAAAAACTATAATTTTTTTAAATGAAAGGGTTACTGGGTGAAATATCAGTTTCATTCCTCAACTTTTCTGAATAAAACCTGTAGCACTAGCGATTTGTTAAATTATACGCAAATATACAGGCAATTTAACAAAAATACTTATAATAGTGGTATTCACCAAAGTGAGAGCAAGTGGCCTGGCAGTCTGGCAAAAAAGCAGATTAGCTCAAGCAACGACTCACAGTGGCCAATAAATGGAATTGAATGTTCATAATTCACTGGAGCCTTCATTTCTCAACCGATTTTATATTTTTTTTTTTTTTATAAAAGCGTATAAAGTTTTCAGGTGACTGGTTGAGCCCGATTTTTGGTTTTTTATTTGTTTATATTAAATGTTTAGAGCAAAGTGCAGAAAAAGGGGCAATAACTAAATTTTACATAATAAAAACTGGCTGAAAACAATTGTAAAAAAAATTAAAAAAATTATTTGAAATGTAATAAAAAAATTTTCACCAAAAGAATTTTTTGTTTTTGGTTTTTATACAAATAACTTTTTCGTT